TTTATTTTATAGTGTCCTACAAAGACCTGACAAATGACAAAACTTTTGTTCTTGTGATTATTTTTAAGATTTGTTTTTTAAAATGAATTTTAACTCATTTTTACTATAAACACCACGGGTTCTATTACTCTTAACCGTTTTTGTTTTATTCAATTTAAGATGGTCGACAACTAGTTTTGAATAATCACTGATAAAGTTATATTTACTTGTACTCTTTAGTAAAAAGTGCATAATTTTGATGCAACTCAACTAATGATAATAAAAATCAAATGTATATTGTATAAAAATGATTATATTTTTTCTCATTGTTGAAACATTTCTTATCATTTAAGTTATATAAAGACAAATATTATTAAGCGCAATATTATGTAGTGATTTTAACGTCCTACACACGTTTGCTTTTAAAATAGTTGATAATTTGTAGTTTTTTTTATTGGAACCCTGTTTGTTTGTGTTATATTATAATATTCAATTTTGTGTCATTATTAGTATTTTATAAAATTTCACCATTCTTTGGAACATAATCGGTAATGTAAATATTTTAATAACTGTTGAAAAAATGTACTGAACATTTTGACAGATAAAAATAACCACTCTACCTCCTGTCCTAAATCTGAAAGTTGAAGTTAGTAAACATTTTTAAACATTTTATATAAGAGCAGGCCCAACTACCTAGTAGACTTTTAACGTTCATACTTAAACTATTTATTGACTACAACTAATATTTTTGGTTCCGATGTATTAAATTATTGTTTGTAATAATTGTTTGTTCTTAGAACGATGGCAATTATTCAAGCCATAGCCAAAAAATCGTTAACATAAATTGGGCATTATGTATCCCGGACTCTTGTAACGCCAAAGACGTACAGACATCAATGGAAGAATTGTTGAAGCCTATTTTTCAACATTCTTACAATCAAGGTTTCTGTTCATCCAGCTCTATATACATCAAAAAGAACATCTGATGCAAAATCCACTGATGGATACCTTATTTTGTTTTTAGTAAATTGCTTTGTTAAAATATATACGACTATATATTAAATAAATATTAATTACTTTAAACAATATTTAAAAATTATAATAATATCTATATGTACTTTTTAGCATGATTGTGGTACTGATCTTAACGTTAAATATAGTTGGGACTTTGTACGAAACGAATATTATTGGCGATCAATACGTTCATTGTTCTATTTTAAGTATGTCATATAGCAATTATGAATAATTCAAAAGTTGTAATGACTGTTTAAATCTTTTTTTTTTTTTGTTGTCTTTTTTAGAAAATATTTATTGGATTTGTCTATTAGAACAAGCATGGAAAGTGTGTTTAAAACACAAATCAAAAATGAGACGGCTTCAACTGATTCGCTAAAATTATATTTTCCGTTTTTTGTACCTATATTACACAGAATTTATTTTGGCCGATATTTTACAACAACTACTCCTTATTTTATGAAAAACGTAATATTTTAACAACATCTTCATGAAAATGTTTCGCCTTAATCTTAGATTTCTTATTCATGCTTTATGATTATCCGTCGACATTAAATTAACAATTAATAATGCAATTATTCGTGATATGTTTTAGTTGATGAGCAATGTTTAGATAAATGTACCAATGTTGGTGTGGAAACATGTTTTGTAATTTCGGGATATATGATGTACAATTCTGTGATCAATAGATTAAATAAAGAAAAGGAACTCAAATTTTTTTATCTACTATTGAATAGAATGGCAAGGTAAGTTAATTTTATTATTGTGTGCCGGTTTAGGTTAGGTTAGGTTTGGTTAGAATCAACAAACATTAATTTTAAGTCACTTTACAGGATTTTTTGGAGCAAGTTTATATTGTATTATTCTAAAAAAAATAAACAGATGTTAATAGGTTAAGGAGTTCTGACGGTATGCGTCTCATATAAATTATCATCCGCTACAACTGCTGAGGAATGCGTAGCAAATTTAGCATAGGACCCTGATACTTTGGAAGTGTGACAGTGGCGGCCGTCAATTTGCAATGTAAATTAATTGTACTTCATACAAATAAAATCGTTATGGTTCAATGGTGTTCCGTGGAGCGGTGCAAATAACTAGGGTTTTATTTAAAGGGGTATACTATTTAAAACTTGAAACACATCAAAATCAACAAGACGATATGTTGTGGTTTATGAAACTAAGTAATTTTAGTTTTTGTATCGTGACAATTTTACTACTGTGTCTTACACAGTAACTTACTGCCAACATACGTAATAGTTTATTTGCTTTACGTGTGCGTTTGACCTCACATAGCAGATGGTCCATTTTGGAAATTATTTGCAATTCCGGATGCCGAATTTTGTCGTAGAAATTTTTGGGGAAAATGTTTATTTATCGATACTTACGTCGATGGCGTTGAAGAAAGAGTAATGACAATCATAAGATAAATCAAAAATAATGATATGCTACACAATTGTTTGAAACATGTTTGTGAAAATTATGGAACATCTGGCTTTTTGGGTGTTTCTAGGATTGCCTTAACTGCACCTCTGTCGTGTTTTCACCGCTATCGCGCTTATCCGTCGTGTTGTTGCTCGGAAATAGTAAATTTCGTTAAAAAAATGTCTAAAATAGTTTATCGGTTGACTGTCAAGGTGATTGAGTCTTTAAAAATGAATTATTTTTTGTAACTTAAATGTTCCTTTTGTGTTTAACAATTTAAAATGTTTTTTTCGTGTTTGAACTTTGTTCCCAAACCACTTTCTTTTTATTATTTGGTCAGTTTTTCAGACATACCAACACATGCGTTTCGAAAGTGACACTAGTAAAAAATTAATGTTTAAAGGAAATTTTAAAGTAATGACAAGTGAGCACAAAAAGCATTGAGATAGTTATCAATTTTTTTTTTAAATTGTATAGGCAATAAGGAAACAATAGTTCTACATAAATATTACATACTTGGAGTACCGTATCTCCAGTCTTACAATGGTGAAAACTATAAACAATTTTACAAACCACCTGTTTTATCAAGTTCCAAAAAATATACTACAACAAACAATATTAATAAAAATGAAAAACTATTAGCAATTCGACTACATATTATTCAGTTTTAGTAGATAATAACTTGTGGCACTAGTCACCACTTGGCCTACCTCTTGGTACACTAAAACCAACTTGTTTTATCCATAACCTAGTTTGTAGGTAACTATTCAGTGGGTTTCTATTCCATTATATCTATATATTCACATCGAAGCATTTATTTGAAAGTGATTAAATCAACTTTGGTAAAAATAATCCCTAAAGCCTCTGAACTCTACCACTCCACACGATCCTGTAGTATATTTATGTCAACCATATTAATATGGTTGACAATACAATCTCATTTAAATGAGATTGTATGAAAGCGTTCAACTATTACTCTATTTGATCATTTACTTATTTTTTTATAATTTAATTATCTTAAGGTAGTCCGGTTATATTTATCCTGGTTCACTATATTTCTTGGGAAGCGAATGCAGCCCAGGAATCCAATTTCATTGATTGCCAATGAGTTGGGTGTTCTCGATAAGAATCGGATTCTTTAAATAATTAAATAGTCATTATGAAGTGTTTTGTGAAGGAAGGAATACCAGTCTTTATTAAGATATGTAGCCTTGGAATAGGAATTAGGATAACCAAATAGACTCGACTTCTAAGCGAGCTTTGTGTAGTCCCCCGATTATTTGTCAAGCAGCCTGAGAGGAGATAACCAAAGCTAAAGGGTATAATATACAAACGTTAGTTTGATCAGAATAATTATAATCATACACTGAGTCAGTCGCAGATGTATTATACTTGAATATATGTGTCAGAAAAACATATCAATACCCAAAAAGGACGACTGATTTAGAGTAGACGCAAGTATGTTACTTCAAAAATATCTAAGTAGTAAATTAACTTAATCTACAAAGCTGCTATTTCAAGATTGCCGCTGCACCGGAATCAAGGTAATAATAGGATTGGATAAAGAGAACAGGACACAATAGGAATTGCATCAGCACACAATCTAACATCATACCTGCAAATCTTACATCCCCCTTTTTATTCTTTTATTTTTATTATTACAATCCGTTTCCAATATTATGCAGGTTTTTTTTCAATGTTTTAAATTTTTAAACGCTGTTCATGCTTATCATTTTCTTTAGTCAACATAATAAAGCGATTACGGTTTAAGAAAAAAGTCGGTGTATAGCAATTTTTTTTCATTTAGGCAATATTTTCTATCATAAATCAGACAAACATGTATTAAACTATAGTTTAATAAAAGCTACTACTGTCATCGCAGCTGTGGTGTCGAAAATGAATAACGAAACCAAAAAACCACGGTAATACGCAATTGTAAAACATGTATTATGCCTCTCATGGCCTATACTGAGTGAATAGGTAAAAAATTGAAAATAACAAATTTAAATCGTGTTTTATTCAAATATAATTTAAGCTTTTTCAATAGCTTAAAAACGATTTTCTTATACAAATGTTATACTGCATTGATGCCATAAAATAATATACTAAAAAATTAACAATAAAACAGCATAATGAGGAGGGGGGGGGGCAATGTAAAGGAGTTTACTATAAATTGATTATAACAATCAAGCTTAGAAGTCAGCAATTTTTTTTAACGCTTTGTATAATAAGGTGATTTGTATTTGATTTCACAATAGCTGTTTGATTTAAACACCACATTGAAAACGATTTGATCACATTCATATTGTTATGTATTTGATAATAATTATATCTACTCCCACTGCATTGCTTTGACTACAAATTGTTAAACATTCTTGGCTACAATGTTTTAAAATAAAACATTACACCACACCCAAAAAGCCAGAAACTATTATTTTAAATTATAATACTTTCAAAAAAAAAAAAAAAATACATATTATTAAAAAAAAGTACAGCGATACAAAAATTGTATACAGCTGTATTTGGTTAGCCAACACCGTTCGTCTTGCTTACCATCAAACGTATCATAGCGCAAGTATAATAATATTAAGTTTAGCGAATTAATATGAAAGACACGACAGACACACTTTTATTACTGTTCATACGTTATTCGACTTCGGTGCTAATAGTCGGTATATATTTCACATTTACTCAACAGAATTCCGATAAACACAACAACAAATATGCTTTTGAAGAGCGCCGTTTATATAATCTGCGCAGTGCATTTTTTAACTTCAGCATGGGTAAGAGTATACGTATTCAAATATTTATCTCGGATAATATTTCCAAAGATTAGTATATTATATATATATATATATATATACAGGGTGATCCAACTAACGTAAGACACTCATTTTCTCTGAAAATATAAATATTTTGAAAACAATTTTTTTCCTAAACTCTTAGGTACATATTTTACTACATTTTTTAATATTTTAAAACATTTTATCGCCAATCCTTATAAGCCAAAATAGGGGATTTTTGTTTTTTTTAAATAGCAACATATGTTTTTAATTACATAAATTTGTAGACAAAAAATTAAAAAATATCTTATCGTTAAAATTTTTTATTTTTATTAATCTGTTCATTAGTTATGACTTTGTTAAGATACTACATTTTCTCTAAATAATAATGATATTTCTTCGGTTTGTTCAAAACCGGTAACACATCAAATTCATATTCATGTTCGCATTGTCCAATTGGCGATAACATTCTAACAACTAGGAATTCACTATAAAAGATTTTGAAATAGACAAAGGTTCTTATCTACAGATTACTTAGATTATAGGTTATTTATTATATCTGCTTATGATACAGAGTACGGTAACATGTCAAATTATTTGTATGCAATGTAATAAAACTACTCGTCTGCGTAGTAACGATTGAAAATATTAAGAAATACAGTCAAAAAATCAAATCTTTATAAAGTCGTAACAAATGAACAAATAAATGAAAAATCATAACTCAAACGCTAACATAATTTTAAATTTTTTGTCTATGAACTTATGTAATTAAAAACATATGCTGCCATTAAAAAAAAACAAAAATCCCCCATTTTGGCTTATAAGGATTGGTGATAAAATGTTTTAAAATATTAAAAAGTGTAGTAAAATATGTACCTAAAAGTTTTGGAAAAAAATTGTTTTCAAAATATTTTTATTTTCAGAGAAAATGAGTGTCTTACGTTAGTTGAATCACCCTGTATATATATATATATATATATATATATATATATATATATTTATGTAAATATATTTAGATCATAACGCTATGGTTTGAGTCTAGAGTCGGAATTTAACATTAATCGTGGCTAAAACGCATTTCGAGTTTCAAGTACACATGTTTCAATTTTTGGAACACCAATTTTCTAATTTTCTTTTATACAATTTTTTTTTAGCTGCTTCTTGTAGAGCACCTTCGTGGCTAAAATTATTTATGTGTCCGAAAAAAAACCAAAACGACCATATATTATTACTTTATATTATCATTTAATCGTATGGGTTTTTGAAGTCGATATACCATATTCTAGGGCACTGGACTAAACAGAGATCAATTAAATACAGTTATTAGAATGTACGAAAACGACGAAATTTCCGGAAAAGAAACCGCACAAATTATGGAAAACATGTTTGGAATAAAATCGTTCAGAAATGTTTTCAAATACGATTCCAGTAACTTATTATTTTGTATAGATTTTAACGGTTTGAGGTCAGGAGGTGCAAAAAATAGAAGACAGTAGGTCTACATTTTAATGTCTACCGAACGTTGGTCTACAGCAGAAAGCCTATTGTTTCTAAGAGTCTATTAATAATAATTAATAATGTCTTAAAATCATTCTCGTCTACTATTTTATGTTCTTCTACCGGGAATAGCTTTTAACATAGGTATGTGCTGTCGACGTATAATTTAGATTATTTTAATAGTGTCATTGCCTCATTGGTGCAAAATGTACCTAATTTATTAGGACTTAACTATTAGTTTAAATCTACCATCTACAAAATCGCTTTGAAGCTTTTAATTGAAAGTGATTTTCTCACCTGCAGTACCTTACTGTACTGTACTGTTTTTTTTAAATTAAATTCCTGTTATTTTACCAGTTTTTTCTTACAAAACTACGAACACTTAAGTTTTTTGCCATCAATAGATTGGTATTGTGTTGTTAATAAATAAATGCCAATAATATAAATGTAGATACTTATGATTTGTAGACCTCGTTCTGGGTTGGACCTTTCATTTGTGGATTTATTCATTCCAGATATAGAATAGTTTAGTTTTCTTTTAAAGTAGACCTACTGTCAGTACACCTCTGGACCGTGTACCATGATATTAAATTTAATGTTTTTAGAAGTTTCCGGTTCTGTAAATTTGAAGGAGTTATTGTTAGCATTAGCGTACGAAGATAAGCCAATATCTGACTGCTTCGAGGTATTAGGTCTAAAATATTTAATTTATTATAGCAATTTTAATCAAAATTGTGAATTAGTTTTGTACATCGATAACTTTGTACCTAGTGTCAAATGCTTACTGCTTTCGAAGTAGAGCTTTTCCTTAACGTGTTTGCCGGTCATGTCAAAAATGATGAACAAGAGGGCTATCTTACTCCTCAACTTCTGAAAGATGTATTTGAAGATTTGAAAATAGACGGTGCCGAACTATTAGTCGAGGACCTTAAAGCTAAAAATAGTGGTAAGAAATATATAAGCCAAACAAGGCTGTTTACAACATGGTAATAAATAAATTTGTTAATACAGCAGTTGACAGCTCCGCAATTAATCCAGGGGACTTCTTGTTGATCATGTTGGATATTAAACCAGAAGTAAGAAAGTATATCTTGTGTGTAAAACAGTATAATACGGGGGGAATTTTATTTATAACTATCTAATGGTATTTTATATATTTTGTTCTTAAACTACAGGGAAATGGTCTAAACCAAGCACTAATAAAAAAGCTGGTTGATTTGTACAAATTTCACAAAACTAATAACGGTAGCATCGATACTCTGGAAGTACATAAAATATTCAAAGAGTTCGATATGGCTACAACGGAACATGAATCGAAAATTTTTAAATCCAACAGTAAGAAAAACACAATGTTAACGTGTTTACGTTTGATACATTATTCATTATAATACAATATATATCTTCTTCTTTATCTTCACCTTACACTCCCAACTACACGGGGTCAGCCACGTTAGTCCTGCACCTCCAAAAAGCTCGATCTTCTACATCTTGTTCAATCGCCCCAGCTATCCTCGTATCATTCACTATTCCGTCCATCCATCTTTTCGTCGATCTAGTTCTTCCTCTTTTTTCCTCTACATTCATCTTCATAACACCTCTCACCGGCTCTTCCTTATCTCTTCTCATAACATGACCGAACCATCTCAATCTATTCTCTCTCATTTTCTCCACAATTGATGCAACTCCTAGACTCCTCCTTATGTATTTATTTCTTATTTCATTCCCAAGGTACCATGGCACCTCCCTCTATATATCTTTCGTAATCTTGACCATTACAAAATAGAACAAGTAAGAACTCAACGCTGAACCTTGTTGCACACCTATTCTTACACTAAAACCTTCAGTTTCTCCATACACACTCTTCACTCTTGTACTTGCCCCTTCATAAATTTCCTCTACTACTTTCACGTCATATACCCTGGGCACTCTTTTTTTTCCAACGTCCACCTTAAAACCTCTCTGAAAACTATATCATATGCCTTTTCTAAGTCTATAAATACCATACACGGTTTTTTTTCTCTCTGTATTTTTCCACAATTTGCCTCCTACAAAATGTTGGTTCCATAGTTGATTTCCCTGACATGTCTGAAATTAATTCTTTGATATTGTATTCTCACTCCGCATTTTCTTTTCTGTCGCCTTTCCCAAACTTTAATAATAAAATACAATATATCTGAATTAAATATTATATCAATTTGAAATATATAACACCTGCACAGGACCCGCTGAAAAAGAGTTGATGGAGTTGGTCATCGTCACGGCAGAACGTAATAGAACGGTTAAGAAAAATGTAATATCGTTAAATTTGTGTACATTTTTAATTTCTCCGCTTGTTGTATATTGTATCGACTTACCTACTTTGTTTATAATATATTCGATACGTTGAACAATATTTTACTTTGACGGTTCTCCAGGAAGACGGCGTGCTTTGTACGGAACAGATCAGACGCTATGTACACGGTTTCACTGAACTGGACTTGAACAAAGACGGTTTACTTTCGGCTGAAGAGACTTCCGGGTTTCTTGACGAGTTAGAGGAATTTTTGGAGTATTTGGGAGCGCCCGAGAAAGATTCTGCCACTCGAGAAAATTCGAAAAACTATTTAACGAACATTTACTTTGACGGTATTGTCACATTGACCAGTTAACCATGACTTTTGCCTGAAATAAGCTTTTTTTTTGTTTTTTAGGTGATAAAAATATTAACATTGCGGAATTCTTGGAAATTATATGGTTCTATTCGGAAAAAACCGCAGTGCTACTCAAACTTCTTGATTCTGACGTTAATAATAATCATGAGTGATGATTACAAACAAGTTTAAACAGCATAAGTTTCATCTTGTGCGTGACCAATAAGCATAATAACAATATTCGACATTTTTACATTTAATAATAACTTATTATAATATTTAACATATGTTTAATGTATACTAAAACAAAGTAATAGAATTGGATTTTTTTTTTGTTATGTGATAAGTACTAATAAGCAATTAAGATTATGGAAAAACTCAACTACAAAACTGTAATTATTTTTGTTCAATTATAAACAGCCAATTATATTATATTTTGTTATATTTACTTTCACCATAGTATGTTAAACATTTTAAAGATTAGACCGGATGAGAAATTAAATTTCTCGGGTGTTATCAGTTAACTCTTTGTAAACGAATATACTAATAAAAATGAAACTAACAAATGTAGTTGAAGACATTAAACGATTAAATTAACGAAATTCTCATAAAGTCGATGTAGACTATTAGACGAAAACGGTCTAATGAGTTATAATTTCTTAAATGATGTGTTTTTTCTACAACTTTTCTATTTTTTAATCCACGATATCGTTTAAACCGCCGAACCGTTTCCTTAATGTAGCAACTCTGAATGCCAGAAGTCAGAAGTATCTACTTTGTTGGGCTAAAACCACAAAAAATTCCCATCCTACTTCTCGACGGGACTCTCCGTTTAATTTACTCTCCAATCCTACGGTATGATAGAAATTTAATTTTTTTAACCAAATTTATATCACTGTAATGTTTAATTTGCTTAAAATGAGATATAAATAAATATTATGATCTATAATGTCATGTGAATGTAAGTTCCAAGTTAATATAGGTAATTTATACTTTTTTCAATATTTAAAATTTTTTCTTATGTAGATCTAGAACGAAACTATAACGCATACATATTTCTCAAAAATCTGAATCAAACATTATTTTTATTAAGAAAAAACCCCCAAAAAAAGTGGAATTACACTTTGACCGTAGCCAATTTATGGGTTGCTTTGTCAACAGGTAATACAAATAAATGAATAAATAACTTTATGGGTAACTATGGCAATACATTTGTATAGACATATGGTCAACCTTAATCGTACCCACTCTAATACTAAAAATTAATTTTTAAGTACACACTTCTCACTGGATACAATGGTTTTATCGATATTTGTATTTTTATCTGTGAACACTGGACCTCCCTTATTGTTCTTATTACTACTACTACTTACTCTACTTGGTTTGGACTGTACCGGTATGAACATGTTACCCACAGATTTGTATTGAAGCGTTTATTTTAAAGTTGTTTTTCACTTTTAAGTATAGTAATTCCTGTAAACCTGTGACCTCTCCGTCTCCTTTATGCCCCAACCTCATTGCACTTTTTTTTTTTTTTAGGATTGACTTTGTCCAACAATGCTCTAATCATTTAACTAGGGAATTTTGGCGTTAAGTCGTGGCAGAGTCCTCTGTTAAGGATTTAGTGCAAAAGGTAGGCGGAATAAGAACTAGATGGACGTTTGTAAATAAACATGTTATGGAGATACAAGGAAAATGTAAAAATATGTTGACGGATACAATTTTTGTGTTAAGGTTTTTGGCTGAGTTAAAAGTATTATTTAGTCAATTAACTTAAATAGGTTTTCAAGTGTGTTTAATCTGAAAATAATTATACATCATATGAAGTAACCGAGTCAATAAAAATAGGTACAGTTTATATTAACACGTGTTTGACTTTTATTACATTTTTTAAATACATTGAAACCAATAAATCTAAAAACAATTATTACAATGGATTTTTACGAATTACACCTAATAAGTTATAACACATAAACGTGCCATGTTTAATGCATTTTATAACAATATTTTTTAAACTTTTTACCATTTTTATGTGGAAGAAAAAAACCATTTATATCTGTGTTTCCTTATTACCGAATTTACCCGATATTAGTCTATTAGGTTAGCAGCCGTGTAGGTAATTACGTTATTCCTCGGGTCGAATTGAAAACCAAGCTTACCCAAGTGCTCGCTTATATACCCTGTGTAGGAATCCAATTTGTTTACATAGAAAGCGTATCGGCAAAGAATTGTGGTATTTTGATTGTTATACTCGTCCTTCAGCGACTTTATATTAAAGATCTGGGGTGTTGGCTTGCAGTCCCTGTTCAAGACTTTCTCCAAGTAACCGGCAACAGACATTATTTGCCAGTTAAAGCCTTGGGCTGCGATATGGGTCGGGACCACCAACAGACACCCGTAAAGTGCACTTAGAGTTACAGTACCGTCGATGGAATTGAGCAGCTCAAAGACGCGCAACACGCTTATTACAGTCGAAGCAAGCGTCTGGAGACTACCGTTCAGTTTCTGCCAACAGTCGTCGGCTACAAAATTTTGTCGAATCGCTGTGCACTCTTCCATCGTATGAACCGTCAGTCTGAGGAAGTCGTTGAATTGTTTCCCGTAACCGCATACCATCAAATAAGGGATAACGTCCAACTTGTCTATTACGCTGCTGACGGTATCTGGATCGGGTAAATTGCGTTTGTCTATCCAATTCATTCCGGTTTTCACCGCGTCGAACCACATCTCTTGCCAGTGTTCCGGTGTGCTAATATAATTTACAAGATTGGTTGTTTGCTCTTCGGTGAGTGCGCCATTACACCTCGTATCGTTTTTCACACACAAAACGGCTGCCGCAGTTAACAACTTAACGATCACAATTTTCCCCATGTTAACGATCACCTGCGCGCCAAATTTGCTTACTTCACATAACCAACATGACTTGCTCGGTGTATAACCCAAACGAAAATAGCCAAATTAAATCGACAGTACTCCGAGCAAAAGCGAAGAGACACGCACTTATTGTTTGCCTTGGACAAGTTCTATTACTAAAAAGTCATTAAAACGTCAGATTTACTATTGCCTTGAGGTTTATTATACTCGCACGATACACAAGTGCTGGTCTTGTATGTACAAACTAGATATCATTAGAAAGAAACAGCGATGGTAAAACGTATAGCACAATCATTTTAAGTTGAAAAATATTATATTTTAGCCTAACCTAACCTAACCTAACCTCCACACCCATCTGTGAATGTACGATGATCTCCGTTTATATTTAAAATCCCCCAGTCCTCTAATCTTGTAAACTTTTTAGAAAATAAACTAATCTACAAAACATGCCAGTACATGGGGGAGGGGGGTATTTGGGTAGCATGTCCACAGGAATTATTAAAACCCGCAACTGCATTTGCTTCTACATTTGTTTTGTCATATTATATGATAACTTTTACAATATTGATAATATAATTTGGCGATAAATTATAGCTCTCAATGTTAACCTAACCTAACCAGTTTTGAACGACAAGTCAAAATGTCCAGCAAATTATTCTTAACTTAAGTTAATACGTTCAAATTTGAATAAGTTTTTCACACACGGAGGAGACTTATGGTTAGGTCTATAAGATGATGAAATTTCAAGAGGTTTTTTAGAGTTATAAGTGAAGATTATAAATGGAGTGTCTCCAGTGAGTAGGAAAATAAGCTAAACAATGGGTTGTGTTGATTATGTAAGTAAGCAATTAGTATAAAATGTAAAAATTTGTCTGGAATTTGTATTGAAATTTCTGCAGCTAATAGTTCATATTCAGGTGTTCTTCGTGGTACTATACCAATAATACATCAGTATTATGTGACTTCATTAGGTGTGAAATAGTGAGTGTTCATGAATTTTTAGTGATTTATGAGTACGACCAAATACGGTTAAGTTAGGTTTATCTCATCCACAACTTAGGGAAAATATTGTTTTCTCAATCACTTGCATGTCTGAAAAAAAATTGCAATCAACCTAATATTAATCCTTAAGACTTTATTTCGTTTGGTCCATTTGGTTTAATGTCATTTCTTTCCTTAAAAAGCTTTTTCAGGGGAGCTAATACGTTTAAAACGTATCTTAAACTGTTCATTTTAAAATAAACATAATTTATTGACAGCTTGGATATTAATGCGGTATGCAATGATCATTTTGTATGAACCTAGGTATTTTAAACTGCTGAAAAATTCTAATAAACGACACATCTGGAAAAAATCATTAAAATCTTGATTCTCTCAACCTTAAAAAAGTGCAAAAATTTACTAAATTATATGATTTAATACTGCTCTTCATTATTTGCAAGACACATGTTTTTCACGCGTGTAAAAAATAAGAGTTGTTATTTTTTTAAACATGTTACTTTTAGACCATTAAATTTTAAACTGGTAGGGAACACGGTCGAACATTTTGTATATTATAATCTATTATTTATGAAACAAGTAATATTCATTAGAAAAAAGAAAATCGTAATTGAAACATAGTTTAACTTATAAGAGAATTAAAAGCATCTATATTAAAAAAAAACATTGGTCATAAGTTTGTTTAATAAAACTTTGTAGTGGATTGTGTAAGTATTATAAAAAAATAATTTTATATTGATAACTAAATATTGATTATGTACAAATTTCCAATTATTAAAAAACAAAAATTTGTTTCAAAGAATTAACATTAAAACCAAACGACACATCTAGTGAAAATTTGTGAAATATGAATTGCTTCTACCTTAAAAAGTGAATTGAACATAAAATTTCGTATATGTTAACATTTAAATTTTTAAAGAAAAGCATTTTAATATTGTGTACTAACATTTAGAAAAGAAAAACTACAAAATTGTAATTATTTTGAAAGAAAATTAACTTATCCTTGATATATGTATGTAATTTATTCTACTCACTATATATATATATATAATATATGTTCCCTATTTTTGTACAGCCTGACATTATTATATTTTATTATCTGAAAGGTAATTTATTTAGGCGAACGTTTGAATTGATGTTTACATCTATTCCTTTAAAGTCGATAAAAACACTTGACACTTTAGCTGAGAAGGTACTGTTTTTACAATGATGTGTGTTTGATTTTTCAGTGTCTAGTTGGTGTAGTTATAAGCATCAAAGTTCTAAGAATAATATATAATCTACAGATAACTTTCTATAATGAGCACAATATTATGTTGCTTTTAAAATATAAAAATTAGCAGTGCATAACGTGCGGGGAGGTAATTATTGTCTATTGATAGAACTCCAGATTATAGATTTTAATTATACATTATTGTGTACATGCTATTCTACCAGTAAAGTTCATAATAATCGTGGGAACAAGTACAAGTGAAACAATATAAGGCATTTATATATTTGGGTTTTAATCGGACATGATAAATTACATGAGGCCCACCATTTGGCGTGATGGTATTTTAAACGTGTCTTAACGTTTAGCCCAATATTTAACCAATTTTGTTCAAACTAAAATCAAAATGATTCCTAAGATCTTATATATTATTTAGCTTTATTTAAAAAAAAAAAACAACTCAATTATGAAAATCCCGTCGAACGAATATTATACAATCATGTGATAATATGATGTTCACGATAGTAGTAAAAAAAGGTTTGAATGATAGTCAATAGTTGGCAAAAAAAAAAACTAATCATAATTATCCAAAATCTAATAGTATCAAACATTTTTAAGAGGATTCCGTATTGACGTCGTTTAGAAGTCAAGCGGTAGACCGTTTTTTAATATTTGTATTGCGACTCTGTGCATACAGGTTTATTTTAACTTAAACCGTCATATGTTCTAATGTTATAGTTTTTGGAGACACGTGTATAAATGAAACAGATAAAAAATATCGACCACATAAATTACATCATGCATATTTAACACTAAATGTATACAGGGTGTTCAAAAAGTATAAAAATGAAACCTTAATACTGCTTTGTACTGTGCTAGATTTGAGTTATTCAAAAAAAATTCCCATCAGGGTGTTTGATTGTAATGAAAGCTATTCCAAAGTGGTTAAAAAATTAAGTTAATTTGCATAATAAATAACTAAGAACCTTAAAAATAAAGAAACGGTTTTTTATTTATGACAAGTAATTTACTTTTCACATTTTCAATAATAGCTTTAAATATCAAGTTATTAAAAAAAAAAATGAAACTACTTTGCTAGTTTATATTATGCTGTATTCTAACTACTATTAATATTGATTATGTTACATTTTAGGTTTACTATTTTATAAATAATATAAAATAAAACCTGTGTTAGTTTTTAAAGAATATTCACCGACAATATAGTATTGCAGTGGCGCGGCGTTCCAAAATACAGCGATTTAAAAAAACACCATATTGTTTCTCACCCTAAATTTTTTTATTCTATCGCACCCCATTTAACGGCTTTCTTTATGACCCTTCTACTTTTAACAATATTATTTTTTTAGGGCTTCATTCTAAACCTTAAAAAACATTACCTTCCCATTTCACGAATATATACAAAACAATTTCCCTCTGCACACTATTGTTTCCTATCTACCGTATCCACTATCGTTCCGTCTCTTTCAATTCAGCTGGCTTCGCCTTTTTTGTCCACTGCTTAAACAATTCTTTTAATGGCGACATTTCCCCCTCCTCCCTTTTTTCTCCGTCCTTCACTAAAGAATACAATATAGGCATAACCAAAGCACTAGAATATATTAAATAATCTTTCTTTAATAACGTTTTCAACGTTTCCGACTTCCTGTCTTGGCTATCCTCGCTTCAATCTGTTAGGTATACGATGACCACGTTATTAATATGATATATTTATAAAAATAAATACGGACAGTGCTTCCGGCGACTCGATTCTGATGACTAAACAATTAAATTATTAATAAAATACTGACACTAGATTCCTACACTAAAATGCAAATGGACAGCTTTCATCCTACCTATGTAAACGCAAGGCCCTACATGCCACCTAGACCTCTCGTTGGAAGGACTCAACTCATATGCTCAACATTACAAATTCATACCTCCCCCTCTCATAGAAATAAATGATTTACTTCACCCGTTCGAGAACAGGACATAACCTATTTCTATCCCACTCTTTAATGCTCTACCTTAACGTTTCCACATTTTTCACTCGCCACGATGATGAGCATTTGCCTGTGACTTCCCTCATCTGCTCTGGTGTCCTGCTATTTCCCAACTTCACCTCCCTCTCACCGCCACTCTTTCTTTCTATGATATTAACCTATTTGACCTTGATTCTATACATGGATATTCAGTCTTTCCTGTAATAAACTTTGTTCTTGTATTTAGTTATGAGTCAGGCTTAGTAATGTAGGTATACAATTAATCTTAGGTCATTTGTTTATTGTAAATACCGTTATCTTTTGTATCTAACAACTAAATATGTTCGATATATTACCGACAAAATGGCATGCATAATTGAATTATTAAAGCCATCGCCCAACATTCGTTTTACACGTGGTCATTAAATAAATAACTAAAACAAATTTATTTAATAAATAACGCTTCAATTGACTATTAATAAGTAAACACACTACAATATATTTGCATGTTGTCAAATATATTAAATATTACTGTTTCGGTCGACATATAAGCCGACCGATAAGACAAAAGAAAATCACTTTATCACAGATATTTTGATAAGCTAATAGAATTCAAATTTTTCTTCCAAATTCTATCGATTGAATTATTAAAGTAAGTATTATTATGTGACAATAACTATTGTGAGTATAATTTCAATACATTTTTACCAATATATTCCTTATAAGATTGTTTAGCCTTGGTTTTTTATTTATTTTTGGCCACATAAATACTTTTTTTATTTACATCCGACCCAAAGTCTCACTACATAAAAATATCGGTCCAGTGATTTATAATATATCGCACATAAAATTAGTAACACATTAATAAAATAAAAACAAAAAAATTGTAAAACAAAAGAGTGCTCAGCTTTGCATTGGAGCTAATATAAAACTGAGTCTAGTATAAAAGGTATTTAAGTTAATTACTTGTTTACAGTTAAAATGAAACTTCAATTCATTTTACTATCGTTTGTTCTTGTAACCGTTTTGGCAACAAATGAATGTAATTATTTTATTTTCACCTCCTTAAGGAAGTTAAAAATCTAAAAAATTGTTCAATGTTTAATTTTTTCTTACAGATGAATATAAAAAACTGGTTTTCATTACAAGTAAGGAACGTTTTTTCGTATAAATTAATTAATTTTTATGTTTATAAACTTTACTGTTATTATACAAATGTTTTAAATAATGTATTACAGACTTACACATCGGGGCAGCTTTTACACAAGGTAAGACATATAAATATATAAAGGAGACTATATATAATTTAGTTACTATTATAATAGTATAAAATTGTCATGTTATGTTGCGTTTTTTCACGCATTTAGAACTACCCTTCCTAAAGGGTAACCAATTTTTAAAAATTGTAATTTTCAGATTAGCAATTTCTTCAGTTTTAAAAAGGCTTAGTGTTAAGGGTTCAAGTTCTTCCGGTGTCCTTAGCTACATAAGCTTAATCTATAATTAAAATTTGTAGGAGCCTATCTTAAGAGAAGAGAGATATGAGGGTAAGAAAAACCGGGTAAATTGGTTCATGTAAAACTACATACTGACATTGCTGGAACAGGTTGAGTAGCCTTAAGTTATACGGTCTACCATTTATTTTTTACACAATGGTGTACTCTTATTCTGAAGAATTTGATGTATAATATGATTTTATGTTTTTTATTTTTTTTTTACCGATTTTCAACCATTATTTGTTTTAGACGAAGAAGGATTGCGGACTGTAATTAAAAATATTATAATTGGATATAGACCAATGGGTAGTCATAGTTCTATAATAAAAATACATACTTTTAATAAAAAAATAAAACCGCATGTATAGAATTAATCATTGTTTTGTGATGGTAATTTCAGGACAAATTGCTATGATGTTGGCTGTGCCGGGTAATAATTCATTTGCGTTTTATGGACGTACTTTCATATAGTGGTTTTATATCTAATAATTATAAAATATTTTCGTTTTGATTTTAGAATTAGCAGATCTTACCAATATACGACGTAACTCATTTTATATATCTCATATTTATACTATTTTATTCCGTATTGTATATACAGAGTGTAATGTAAGTTGTACCGAGCTTCAAATGAGACATTTAGGATGCTCTATGGGTACAATAAATGGTGTTCATTTTTTTTTTATTTTAAAATTATTTAAAATAGACTCGTAGTTCATTAAAAAACTGTCTTACGAAAAAAATAATGTCAGATTTGAAATCGGGAGAAAAAATCTTGTTGAATTGATATGTAACATGATTTTTTGGTATCTGGCCACATTTGCGTCCACTAAGTGGCACTGAGTGGCCGGCATGTGACCGAAATCAACATAATATGGTACACATCATTATCGGTTAGAATTTTATTCACAATTCAGAGTCGTTAGAATTATTTTATATTAAACTATGTGTCGCATACTAATTGTTGGTTTTAGTCACATTCCGGCCACTCAGTAGTCACTTGGCGGTAATCCCGTGGCCAGATACCAAAAAATCATGTTACATATCAATTCAACAAGATTTTTTATCCCGATTCCAAATCTGAAATCATTTTTTTCGTAAGACAATTTTTTAATGAGATGCTAGTTCTATTTTAAATCATTTTAAAATTTAAAAAAAAAATGAATACCATTTTTTTTTACCCATAGAGCATCCTGAATGTCTCATTTGAAGCTCGGTAGAACTTTACATAACACCCTGTATATATATACAATATACATATATATATATATATAATATATTATATATCATAAGAAAATATGTACATAAAATTATTTGTTTTTTATATCATAGAGTCCATGGACAACCAAATTTTTTTGCAAGAAGACATATTGCGTGTCACGTGCAAGTATAATATTTAAAATTTTTATGCGAACAATCAACAAAATAATAATTACTCAGCTTTAAACAAATCAAAATCATAAACCAGTATGGATATTAATTAAAACTTAATTGATCGTCTGAAACATAATTTATTTCGTTTTACGATTTTTTATATTTTTAATTGGTTTAAGTAATATTAGTTATAGACTGACTGTTATAGTAGATGAAGTATAAAATAACTGGTATTTATTCATTGTACAATTATTTAAAATTGTTATTATTTGTTTCAGCGATTCCTGTGCCTCAAGTTGACCCAAACCGAGGTGATCACTCATTATTTTATAATAGACGTAAATAGCATTTAGGGCCATAGTTATAAATTAAACTTAGTAAGTAGTTATAAGAATATAATATATAGTTTTGTAATGCTCCTAAAATACATATGGCCTATACATACTGATAGAATATAATGTATGTCGTTCATTTTTATTAACATTTCAGTTTTTGATATATTGTATTTGAATGTGTTTAAATATATGATAATGTTTGTAGGTGGGTTCATCTTCACTCATTAACATAAAAAATTGTCACTGAAATGTTTAACACTGATAAAATGGCTAGTTAATAAATTTACAATTTGGACGGCGATGTGTTAACTCTTTATAGCCAAATTGTCACTAAAATAATTGGATATTTCCAGTCATCTTATTCAATTATCATAATCACAATACTTTTGTCAGACCTTAGTGGGAATGAAACATATAGGGGCTGGACAGGTCATAGTTTTCCTAGATGTGATATTACTGCTCAAAATACATCCATGCAAATTAGAACTATTAAATTATTAAAACTAAAACTTAATTATTGTAGCTTAGTGACGAAACATCCTTGCACGGACCTTTCTATAAGTTTCCTACATGAAGAAATCGGTTTTAAAAATTCCCATTAATTTGCTTAAATTATTATTTTTTTTGCTGATATTAAATTTTATATATTTTTAACAAGATTACAACTGTTTATCAAATAAATAACGGCAAAATAGGTTCTAAAAACGTTTAATTATCAAAATGTAAGTTTAATTTAATTTCTGAATGCGTCAAGCTATGTGACATTTGCTCTCATCGACTATATGTTAGTTACAATTATTTTCATGTATTATAAAATATTTGAGTTTCAAGTATACAAAGATGAATCTCTTTAAATTTTGAAGATGGTTCCAAGTTTTAAAAAACAATACAACGGTTTTTGAAATGTAATGCAATTATATCACAAATAACCCAATCCTATTTTTCCTTATGAACTTTAAATCTCATTAAATTTGTAGATTTTAGCGGTTACTTATTGTCAGATATTGGAGAAGCTAGAAGAGTTGTTATTAAAGTAGCTACAAAACCTTTAATGCTCGCTGCACTAAGTAAATATGAATATAGTCTTGTTCTGAAATATTTTGAAAATAAAAATATTAAATAATAATAATTAATAACTAATAGAAGTAATATTCAATTATATGCATAAAAAATAAAAATTATCGTTGATTCGTTCTTGTCATAGTAGATCTCAAATTTAGTATTAACTATAATAATAAAAGTATAGAACTCACACAACACAAAAGATGTATTTGTCTAGACTCTTATCTTAATAGCTAATTGGATAACAATATGATCAAACCTAGTTTTATTTATTGTTCTTTAATAATTGACTAAGACACTTTTCGGTCCGTTGCTTAGGTGATGTGATGTACACCATCATATTACAAGACAATAATATTATAATTTAAAACAAGAACATAACTTTAAAATTTTTATTTAAAATATAAAGGCTTCCAATAAAATTAGTTGTGAAGAAATTAACAGTTTTTTAAAAATATTTTATTAAATATCGATGAATTATATGCCGTCCCTTCGGGCCAACATGGGGCAATACGGGTAATTTGGGGCATTGGCAAATATATTATATTTTAATGTTTATTTATTTACACATATGCCCCAAATTGTCCCGTTTGAGGGTGTTCATATACAGAGTGTCCCCCCAGTTAAATGTTATTCACTGAGAGAAACATATTGACACTTTGAAACCCTGTATGCTGTAATAATTACAATATTAATTTTCTTTGATTATTATTATTTATTGGACGTGTCTTGCACAATAAAGAATATTATGTAGTTATCTAGTAAAGTAAGTTGGCAATTTTTTTTTTTTAAAAAACTTTTTTTTTTATTTTTAAGATGGAGTTGAACCTGATTTTTACGATTTTGCCGCGTTATGTCGTTTAATAGGAATATACAAAGATTTAAAATGTTCAAATTCTTTTATAATTACGGCTCGGGCTGACTCTTATGGTAATTGTACCTTAAAAAATGATGAAAATATTAAAAGCTATTATAGAATCATAGACAACCAAATGTGGGAAGTAGAGTTCACTGAATTCAATGTATCAACACGATTACTAATTGAAGAGATTGGTGGTTGGTAATTTAGAACAGCAAACGCAGCTAAAACATACAAGAAATTATATAGTACCAACTGTTTTTTTTTTATATACCATTAAGATTTATAATATTGTACTGCACAATTATCCAAATTATAAATTATTTCAATGCATTTCATAATAAAAAGTTTTGCTCATGATTATAAGCATATTTAGTGTTTATATGTTGATATTATTTATGCTAGATAAATAAATGGAAATTCAATAGTATTTGTTTTTCTTGAGTTTTATTACACCCGATAGATATCTGTTATAACTTGTATACATCCAACCAACTTACTGGCCATTCCATACAAATAACATTAAATCATCAGTAAATAATCTGAAAGATCTTCAAGCGACAATTCGTTTGTGAAATTTTGCTATGTGTTAGACAATTTTACTATTTGTAGCAAATGACTTTTTACATAATTTGCACTCAAATTTTCCTATGACTCGCTGCTTTGGTTGTACTTCCAACAACTCGTTATGATCCTCTTCTTGTATCTCTATAAGACTAGTAGTAAACATAATCATCAATTTCAACTTTACCACACATTTGGTCCTCCAATTGAATACTCTTCATCACAGAGTAATAATAATACTACATCAATACCTGTGATCTGACTCTTACTATATTAAAATATAGTAAATACTAATGTATGATCTGACTGCTTCAGAACATCTTCTGACTAGTATCATAATTATTCATTATATTATAAACAAATAATTAAATAATCTATACATAAAGAGATCTCAAATGCCTATTTGTACTGCCGTTGTTTTATCATTTATCTGGTATCTACAATTATAAAGTTCCTGAAGAATTAAAATACGGTTTTATTATAATTTTATAGAACTCTACTTTTTGTTGTAAGATAACAACGATTGCCCTTTTACCCACCTAGAGGCTTTTTCATTGTGCTGGAAAATTACATTTGTGAGTGTACAATAAATTCAAATGATAATAATGTTTCTGTTATTCATTTGTTCGAACGCATTTCTAGCAATTAGCGTTATCAGAAAATATTTCCAAATGAAAACTTGATAGAAGGAAGGAAAATCGATAATATTCTCTACGCTAGAAAGCGTGAGCAAACTATTATACAACGGTCATACGAGCATAGATCCGGTCGTGTGAGAGGGGTCGTTTACTGCTATAAGGCAGATGGTATTTACTCTTTTGTTAGAATTACATAATGGGAAGTAACGTCAGCTGGCCCCAACGCCTACGGAATATCCCTTGTAATTTAAATTCCCAAATTATCTAAAGGGCGTCGGCCGTCACCGTTTTATGTCCATCCAAGAGCTGATCGCAGAATACATTTAACCTATTATATCCTGTTATAAGCTGTCCTATTAATTATTTATTTTGTTAACGATTATTCGGAATGGCAGACGCTAAAACGAAAAAGAACATCGAAACATTTTATTTTAATTTAATATTTTTCATTTAATTATTATCATTTGATACATTAATGTTTCTCACTTGGTCCATCTACATAGTTTTTTAATAAGTCGCTTGTTTTATATATTTCTGTGTTAATTAATAACCTTTTTTTTAAAATTAATTATTTGACAATTTTTAAGGTGGATAATCCACTTTGACCACAGCCTTTTGCACTTTGTATAGTTATTATCACTTTTATCGTTATCACTTTGATTCCTTATCAAAGCCAGCAGCTGCTTTTTATACAATAACCATTTTTACTACTATTTAGTATTTATTCGTTTTTACTATTTTATTTAATAACTATATTTATACTCGTTTTTATTACCATTTTTGTAATAGTTTTTATTAATTTGTATCGTTTAACAAACAAGTATATTTTATGATAATGTATAATTTTCGAACTAGTTACACTGTTTTTTATTAAATAACTGTCAGTATTTGATTTTAAAAAAAATGCGTTATGTAAATAATATTATTTTATATAAAAATTTAATTATATATAATACGTGATAGTATAATTCCAAGGAGTCTAACGTCGACAATATCTTTGGTATTCACTTACTAGCGTCTAGTTTCATCTCTCTCGCACTTATCTGGGTACAGCCTCTCTCTCTCTACGCGCCGTCCATTTTTGTTAGGCTAACTGTGTACAAAATGTGGTTCGTCAAGCGCCCGCCGTCGCCGTTGTCGCCAGTTATTTGGGCGTTGTGTTGTCAAATGCCAAACATGGTATCGATTATTAGAACCGAGGGGTGTGAGAGCCGAGAGTCAAGACCAGCCACACCCCAGTTTATTTTGTACTGTACTTACTGTATAACGTGTGTACTGTGTACTTATTATTCACTGAATTATTGTACTGTTCTCTGTCGATTTAATTTTAAAGTGTTTTTGTGGTGATTATTATTTATATTCTTATCGTTCACCGCTTTGGATTGTACGCGACAGTGAAATCTCGCAGGTATGTTTAAGAAATATATAAATCAAATTATTTCAAAGAGACGGTGTGTTAACTTTATATTATTAACATTGCCTTCTACTGAGTAACTTTTGTGATGTTACGCAATAATCTTCTTGAAACGCAGAAAAGATCACTTAGATTAAGTAAGCCGATATTATCGTTAGCGTAAATCGTTTTGGATTAGAATCTGTCTAGAGTAAATAAAAATACACTAACGGTATGGCTTCGAAAATGTAGATTATTACACTATTATAATTTGGATAAAAATTTAAACTATTTATAAGTCTGTGATGTTGAAATCTGAATTATAATTTTTTTATTGAGACGTTTTCTCTTATCTATGTTATACATTTACTTAACCTGGCCTTTCCCTTTTTATTATTATTATTTATAACGTTTTTATGAACTCACAATCTTGTTTGTCGTTTCGGGTGGAATCTTGCAATTCAAAAAGACTTATTTCTCACTCGCCAGCAAAAATTACTCGTGGTGCGTTTGGGCGTGAACGGTGCTCAGATATGAGCGGTACCGGGTTCAAACCCGTTCCCATCATTACACTGTTTTGCATTTTCTTACAATTTTTTTTAACCTAAGTAGCAATTTAAATTGTAAAAAATCTAAAAGTTTATAGATTTTGATAAGGCGGAGGGCTCAAATAGTATGACCTAATCCGCCCTATGGATTGAAATGTTAAAGCGCTTAATCCACAACAATACTGTTAGCAAAACAACGTAACACACAAGAAAATAATAATACAACAGATAAAGGCGCAACGACCAAGTCGATAGCGGGCGGTATTTAGATAACAAAAACGAAACACGTTTTATCCCCTGGTCGCGGTCAAAGTAAGGCCGATATCGTACCTCGCCTCTGGTACGGCGCGGCTAGCGTAATTTAATTTAAATCTTATTTGCTGCACGAACAGAATTATTGCATTTTAATACCATAGAATACATGTTTACCATGTATATTCATTATATAACATTATACATTTAAATATATAGATACGTACATACGAAAACAAAAAAGAACAAAATAACTAAAGTAGATTAAAAAAATTAATCTAAAAATAACGTTTTTATGCGCCTTAAAAAGTATAAACGCACTCCACCTCCCGTCACCAGTCATCCTCACTTTCAAATGAATATAACTTTTAAACGGATAAATGAAAATACATTTTTTTTCACCAATTCTTTTAGCTTCGATTCTCTGATGTGTGTTTTTTTTTATCTGTATACACTGTAACTTTTTTAATACTGGACCAATTCCTTCAAGTAGCAACTCTATAAATCACAAATTTTATCTTGTTGGTACTTTGCCTTGTTAAATCTTGCCCAAATTTATCCAATCTGTGATTCCAAATTAAACTTCAAACTTTTTCCGCATTGATAATTTGTTTGTATTTATACATTTGTACACCTTTTTTAACAATAATTTTGATCGATGATAAGTATTATAATACAAATTTAATAACATAATGATAATAACTGTTTTACTGTTTTTTTTACGGAAGTAGTACATCAGTGATTGATGAAGTTTTACTATCAACTTGTTGTTGCTTTTAAATATATCAATAGCATATCTATTAAATTGAGTTAATTTAATATTATTTTTTTTCAACAGAATGAATGATAATGATAGTATTGAGGTAGATGAAAATCATTGTATTAAAGTTGAAGTGGATGAAGTAGATGATAATTATTACTTTATAAGCCTTATAGAAGTAAAAGAAGGAGAAAATGAGTTATTGGATGTGGAATCAATAGAAAACCACGTAAACAAAACACTTTTATATGACTGCAATAATTGTCAAAAGTCATTTGCTACCAAAAAACAAATCGCCCATCATATGAGAGAATTTCACACTGAGAATGTCCAAACAAGGCTTGATGAAAGTTCAGATAAGTAAGTAAAACTGTTATTTATGATTGTGTCTCAAGCAACGTTTTTTTTACCCCCATCCCAATAGTTTTCGATACAGGTTGAATGTTGATTTCCTCAAACATAGCAACCTAAAGAAATTGACTACAGATTCAGTCTATTTTAGTCAATTTAGTGTACTGCAACATGTGTTGCTAGTCTTCAAAATTATTTGATATTCCAATATAGACTTAAATTTAACAATACAATATTAGCTCATAATTTCATTACTTAAAAATGCATGGTTTTTTTTAGAACGAGCAAAATTCTGTTGGAGGAAGATGAAATAAAAACAGAAGTGGATGAAATTGATGGGTGGTTTTTCACGACACAGATTCATGTTGAGAGAACGGAGCTGGACGACACTGTCAACGAAAAAAAATCATTGATATGCAATTTTTGTGAGGAATCATTTTCAACTAAAAAGAAAATGGCCCATCACTTGAAAAAAAAACACAATAATTTATATTCAACATCAAAGAACTGTCTCTCAAAAAAATATCAAACAAATCATCAAGTGTTCATACACAATGGTAGGAAATATGATCAATGTAATGTGTGTGATAAACGTTTTAGTTGCTCATCTCATCTCACTAGACACCTAACAGTACATAGCGGAGAAAAGCCGTATAGATGTGCTGTATGCCAAAAAACGTTCACTCAGAAGATATCCCTTAAAATACATCAGCGTATTCACACTGGGGAGAAGCCATTTGAATGCCAAGATTGTTCTAAAAGCTTCACTTGTTCTTCAAATTTAAAAAAACACCGGAGAGTGCATAGTGGAGAAAAACCATATAAGTGTAGCGTTTGTCAGAAATGTTTTGCTCAAAAGATTTCGCTCAAAATACACGAGCGAACTCATACTAAGGAAAAACCATTCAAATGTCTAATTTGTTTAAAATGTTTTACATCATCATCCAATCTTATTAATCATCAGAAAGTTCACAGCAAACAAAAGCCATATAAATGCAATGTTTGTTTTAAATCATTTGCCCAAAACAAGTATCTCAAAATTCATAAACACGTGCATACTAAAGAAAAGCCGTATAAATGCAATATTTGTGAGAAGTCTTTTGCCCATAGCTCAAATTTTAAAGCACACGAGCGTATTCATAATAAAGAGAAATGCTTTAAATGTCAAGTTTGTGCTAAAATATTCACTTGCAAGGCAAATCTCATTAGACATCGTCAGGTACACAGCGGAGAAAAACCGCATAAGTGCAATATGTGTGGCAAAGGTTTTGCCCAAAAAATGCATCTCAAGGTTCACCTTCGCACGCATACTGGTGAAAAACCTTATAAGTGCAGCATATGCGGAAAACTGTTTGCGTCAAATTCAAATTTAAAGGTGCATGAACACGTGCACTCCAATACAAAGTCATACAAGTGTAACGTGTGTAGTAAGCATTTTACTTGTTCTACCAATCTTATTAGACACCGGAAGATACACAGTGGAAAAAAACCTTATACCTGCTCAATATGTCAAAAAGCATTTACATATAGCCATTATCTTAAAGTACATATGCGCACTCATGCTGGACGGAAATCATAAAGCGTGGACGACTTTTGCTTAAAAATACCTATTTAACTGTATGACAGCATCAACTTTTTACAAAAAATAAAAAATGTGATTCACTAGCTCTTGACTTCGCTTTACCAGGAAGTGCGCCGTGACTAATTTAGTATTGGTCAGTTATAGTTCGCACAGGAAATTATTCAATCAAAATTTCTCATCGGTTTATATTTTATTTCATTAATGTAATCTTTTGTATTGAGTGTGTTAAAAAAACTCTGCTTTTCTAGCCATACACACGCATTTTATAAAATTTTATCAATGAATTATCGTCAAATAATAAGTACTACGTTTTTAAACATTTTCTGTTTATACTAGCTCGAAGACCTATTAGAAATAAATTTACTAATTTATTGGAGTGAGATATTAATTTCGATTAACAAATAATTGTATTACCTTCAGAATGTAGCCGATTTCTTTTTTACTTTACAAATTTGAAATTTTGTAATTGTGTAATTATTTTAAATTAAATTTTTTCTGCCATTATACAATTTTAAGATGACAAAAAAATAATGTAATTATTTTTGATCATATGTATTGTAACAGTACTGTATTTTTTAAAATTAAACAACATTTTTAATATAAAATTTATCTTATAATGGTCTGACGCTTCGGTGATAACTTTTTACAAAGAAAGTATTAAGATTTAAATTCACAACAAGAATATTACTAATTTATTTTATAAATAATTAACCTAACGTAAAATATTCTGATTATTAAATTGAATTCTTTCTTCTATAGTTAATTGTATTTGATTAAATTTCGATGAAAAATAAGTAATGAAATACCTCAGAGTGTTTGATCGTGCTCAACCCACCTCCCTCATTTTTTAGATTAATGGTCACTTAGTGAACACCCTGTATATTGTAATTATTTTTCTTTGAATATTATTAGTATCTATTATTAGTCAAGTCTTGCACAATCATTAATTTTGTTAGTTAGTAAGTTAAATTTGCCAAATTAAAAATTAAACAATTTTTTTTTATTTTATAAGATGGGGTCGAATCAGAAGTCGACGATTTTGCCAGCATGTGTCTTTTAATTGGACTGTTAGGAAATGCGGTGCTCTCGAAATCATTTACAACGACTGCTGAGGTTGACGATTTTAGTACTTAGTCCAGTCGACAAGTACTTAGTTCCTTCGAAAAATTCCGACTTTAATGAAACTTTGGGAAGTTGTTTATGGATGTCCAGTAGTGCTTCACCCAATTTATCCAACAAAAAAACCATGTGGAATTTTGGGGAGGGGGAAAATCCCAAAATGTTTGCACTTGTTTTGGTTTTTCGATATATTTTGAAAACGGTTAATTTTAGCTGATAATATAGAAATAGTAAATTGTGGAAACTAAATTTCCTACAATTTTTATGTATGAAATAGAATTTTCTTTCAGGTAAATTCTTTTTTTATTTTTATATTTATGTGTTATTTTAGACATGACAATTATGTTTTATTATATTTGCGGCGGACCACTAACCGTCTGGTGACAAGACCTATTGAGAGGGTGTGGAGAGGGGATGTTATTGTCAACGATAAACAAGAAATTGCTGTAGTTATATATATAAATATATAATATTTATCGCAGACAATAAAAAAAAAAAATATTTTAAAAATTTTAATTTTGGTTTTAAGAATTTTATTTGAAATGTTTATAATTTACTCTAAAACTATAAGTCTATAAATCGAATTAGTTTTCTAATAGCTTAATAAAAAATTAGGCTTTTAACCGCCACAGAGAAAACTTTAAGATTCACATTAAAATTAAAATTAGAAATCTGTCTTGCTATTATGTTTTAAAATGACTTTACGAGTTACTATTTATCAAACTAACGCCAAAACTGAGAAAAATAACTTTAAAAGTTAAAAAACTAGAAAAAAATAATATTTGAATGCCCTTAAAATTAGTTGGTGTGTATAATTTTTGTTTAAATAACTTTTCTTTTCTTGTTTCTTCTGATAATATTAATTTATGTTACTAAAATAGAATTCTCTACTATGAAAAAACACATTTTATATTGTTTTATAGCTAACTTTTTGCTTAACAAAATTTTAATAACCTAAAATATGATGTTTGATATAAATATCACACTTATATGACATAGAAATAATAACTATCTTGATAAAAAAATGTATATCCAACAGAGGGTAAAATGTACCCAGTCAATATAAATGTAATATTAATGTTCTCGGCAAAGAAGAAAAAGGTTTGTATACTATTATTTCTATCCACATAAGTTGTCAAATAACACAAGAATTATTTATTCCATTATTAACCAGTCTTTGGTTTCACTAGGTACATTATTGTTCTATTCTTAATAGGCGAATGAAATATGTAGCTTAAAATTTTACTGCTAAAAGTTACCCACAACAATTATACTAAATAATATCTACTTTAAAATTGTTGTGTTTTGATTTAATATCGTAATTATAATTCAACTTACGATTATATTGTTCTCTTTTTAATTTCCTTGCCTCGCATGGCATCTCTAAACTTAACCCAGCTCTCATCCTTAATTCCCGCGTTGTTCCTGTAATTAATGCCACAATATCCTTCATCCTGAGCTCTGGTTATACTATATAGTTTTTATTTATTAATTTTTTTTTTAACTTAACTATACTTCTTGTATTTTCTATTACATTGTTTGTAAATTTCTTTATGTACATATCACCTATTGTAACGCTTTTCTACTTTTGGTTATATAATAATTTGGAATTGTCGAGCCATCATATTTCCCAAAAAAATAGGTCACTTAAGAATCTTACAAAGGTAACTCTGGATAAAGTCTATACTAGTGAAAAAACGAGTATGTTATTTTATGTTCTCTCAAACCTTGCATGCACAGTGTACACTGTATAGACTATAGTGTAATACCCAACAGAGGAAGAAGTGAGAAACGGAATCGATTCGGTTATAGGGGAGGGAAGGGGCAAACGTATACCAATGGAAGTAGTAACCACAAGTTCATTAAATATGTTGCAAAATCAAAAACAAATATAAAAAACAGCCTTTTTAGCAGTTTTTTACAATTATGAGAAAATTTGCATTTTTTCAAAAAATTTGTATCTCAGTACCTATGTGGTCTAAAATATAATTTTATTTACAAAAATTGTAGGAAATTTGATTTTCTATAATTTGCTAATTCTATATTATCAGCTAAAATTAACCGTTTTTGAAATATATCGACAATCCAAAAAAAGTGCAAAAATTTCCCCTCCCCAAAATTCCACATGGTTTTTTTGTTGGATACATTGGGTGAAGCACTACTGGACACCCATAAACAACTTCCCAAAGTTTCAGGCATGTGACCGAAACCAACATAATATGGTAAGGGACACATCATTATCAGAATTTTATTCACAATTCAGAGTCGTTAGAATTATTAAACTATGTGTCGCATGCTAAATGTTGGGTTAAGTCACATTACGGCCACTCAGTGGCCACTTACCGGTCACCTCGTGGACGTATGTGTGGCCAGATAGAGTTGAAACGGACGCACACAAAAGATAGTCGGATGGGCGGCTTGTAGTAAAACGGCAAAAATATAGAGCGCAAGGTCGAGGATATTGGCGGTCCGTGATGGTAAAGTCAACTGGTTAATTAGATGATACGCGACGTGCATTGTCCTGTGTGTGCGACCGTTCCCCTACCTATAGTCGGGGGTGCTGTGTCAGTAGGTTTGGGACGCGAAGTAACGGTCAGGTGAAATATGAACCTCGTAGAGGTTCGACCTCGGACCTAGTCGTATAAAGTTAAGGGTTGTCAAAAAAAAAAGAAATTGAAAAGCAAAAGAAACGAAATTGTGGTACAAAAATTCCTGAAAATAAAGGTGAACCCTTAAAACTAATTGGGGAAAGCACACTTGTATTTTTGGCAGACTTCTGGTGACTTCGAATAGCTGGAAGGACATCCTTCTCATTCTAGAGCCACATCATTGTCGCATTCCTTTTGCATCGGAAAATGGCTTGCCCTATCGTTGCTTTCTTGGCATAAGCTCGAGGCAAACACGGGATACCAGGTCTTCGCAAAGTCCTCCCCAAAAATAGTGTTCTAAAATTCATATAAAACGATAATCTACACTTAAAAATTCCCTATGTATTAAGTTATCATTTATTGGGTCACAAACATTGTGGGCGTGCATCCGGTGAATAATATTTATAAAATAAAATGATGTGTAATCCTAAATTAATAGAATTTAAGTTAACTTAATGGCTCTGGGGAAAAAGCTGCATAAAAAACCAAACCATTTACAATATACACTTAAGTTAAAAAATGCACGCACCTTCAGGTGTATTTTGATTAGTTGTAGGGTAGTTTTCCGTAAACAATTTAAATTAAAGAAAGTAATTATGTCCGTCCCCAGGTCGTTACGCGGTTTTTTTTTCTAAAATGTATACAAACATTAAACATACGATACAAAAAAAAACTTACATAAATTATTTTGACGTCGGCTAATCTTGCGCCTTTGGCGTATCGTATGTCTAGGAAATGATTTATTTTAACTATAACAATCGGTCAATATATATGTATATAGTAAAAATATGTAAAACAAAGGCATTATTAACAAACAGGTTGTCTTTAAAAAGACAGTTTTAAAAGTTGACCACCGTACCGCTGCGCCTAAAACTTAATATAAAAGTCGACTTAATAAGACATACATATATATATATATATACTTAATGAAATACAGTATAATTAATTGATAAATAATTTTATATAGCCCCTAAATACACATTGCTTTGGAAAATTAACATTTAAATAAGAATAGAATCAATTATG